CTTCTTGTTCCTCTGTTGATGTGTTGTTCCGTGTTCTCTGTGATGTGTTGTTGTTATGTGTTGTGTTGTTGTTCCGTGTTCCTCTGTTGATGTGTTGTTGTTATGTGTTGATGTGTTGTTGTTCTGTGTTCCTCTGTTGATGTGTTGTTGTTCTGTGTTCCTCTGATGTTGTGTTGTTGTTCTGTGTTCCTCTGTTGATGTGTTTTTGTTTCTGTGTTGATGTGTTGTTGTTCTGTGTTCCTCTGATGTTGTGTTGTTGTTCTGTGTTCCTCTGTTGATGTGTTTTGTTCTGTGGTTCCTCTGTTGATGTGTTGTTTGTTCTGTGTTCCTATGTTGTTTGTGTTGTTGTTCCTGGTCAGGGACGTTTATCCGGATCCTCGCTGCCGCTGGCGTCGGAGGCGCCCGAGCTTCAAGGTTCCGCCGGTTCTTCGTGTCGGCAGAACTCCGGCAGCTCGTCTTCCTGCGCGGCAGCCGCTGTCCAGAAGCCCCACCCCCCAGGCCACGCCCGCGTGACGCCCCGCCCCCACATGAAGCCCCGCCCCACTGAAGCCCCGCCCCATTCTAAATATTTATAATGTTCGTGATGTTTTAAAATGTTATAATTGTTCTACATGTTCCAAACTTCAAAAGTTAAATTGAAAACAAAGTTACCAACATCATTTATTATTTTAGGAGTTAGAGTTTGAAATGTGTCGCTGAGTGTAACTGACTGCAGACGAGTGGGAAGGAAACAACAGGAAACTAATTAATCACAAAATATAGAAATGAAACTTTTAGGACAGGATTTAGTTTTAGGCAAGTTTATTTATAGAACAGCTTTCAACACAAGGCAATTCAAAGTGCTTTACAAAAACGAAAGACATGGAGAAAATGCTTCTCCATGTTTAGTTCTGACTCTGGGGACAGAAAGCTGACCAGTCCCTGAAGACCTGAGAGATCTGGATGCTTCATCATTTAGCAGGAGGTCAGAAATGTATTTTGGGCCTAAACCATTCAGTGCTTTATAAACCAGCAGCAGTATTTAGAAATCTATTCTTTGACACACAGGAAGCCAGTGTAAAGACTTCAGAACAGGAGTGATCCACTTTCTTAGTGTTAGTGAGGACTCGAGCAGCAGCGTTCTGAATCAGCTGCAGCTTCCTAATAGATGTTTTCAGTGAGACCTGTGAAGACACCATTGCAGTAGTCCGAGTCTACTGAAGATAAAAGCATGGACACGTTTCTCCAGATCCTGCTGTGACATTAGTCTTTTAATCCTAGATATATTCTTTAGGTGATAGTAGGCTGATTTAGTAACTGTTTTAATGTGACTGTTGAAACTCAGGTCAGAGTCCATGACTACACCTAGATTTCTGGCTTTATCTGTTGTTTTGAACATTGCAGGACTGAAGCTCAGCGCTAACTTTTATACGTTCTGACTTGGCTCCAAAACCATTACCTCAGTTTTATCTTGGTTTAATTGGAGAAAGTTCTGACACAAGTTCTTTTAGATTTATTTGTTGATGTTTTTTGCATTTCTGTTTTTTATTTGCAAAAGAGCCGAATATAGTAAAATATGATATTATTATTAAACTTTAAATGAAACAATGTTAAAACTATACATTAAATCATAGAGGAAAAATAATATTTAGTTTGTTTAAATAACCAACTTTTAGTTTAAGTTAATTAAGATTATTATTCTTTAACCTGTTCAACCCGGAGGCCCCTTTTCACGAAACTGCGTCTCAGGACTTCTTAACATTTAAAAACCTATTAATGTGTCATTCCCGATTAACGGGAAGAAACTCAGCTAACTGACGATACGAACTATTTTCATCCTTATTACATATCGGATCCAAACAAACAAGATATCGATTATCAAGCTGAGATTCCACAGATTCTAGGGGTACAAGTGATCAGAACTCGCGAAAACAGACATCACAACACGGAGCTTGATGGAGCAAAAACGGGACATTGTCTTACCTTAGCTGTTGTCTGATCAAAAGTTGTGTTCAATGGCATTACAACGATAAAAACGCTGCTGAAGGTTAATCCATAGGTTAATCCAATGTCTCTGTGCCACTTTGAAATGGTTACTGATAATCCATCTTCATGTTTATGTCAAAACGGAGTTTTCATATTAGCTGGTGGCCACCAGAGTGTATGACAGCCTCCTGTTTAGGGCCTTCTGGCTGCGCAGCACTCATTCACCAATGGTAATGTTTAGATGGATTTTAGGAACGTCCTCTCGATCCTATTGGCTCTTAACGGTTCAAAGAGGTGTCAATCATCAAAATCGAACAAGGGGGGCCAGAGATAGGTCAAAGCCACCCAAATGACCCCAGAAGTGTGTTTTTTTCTAACCTCTCTAAAAAGGTCAAATGTCACTTGTTTTGCATCAATCTGATACAGGGGTACTTCTTATATGTTGTACTTTGGATTTCCTAAAGCTTGTAGTCTACTATCCCATCATCCAAGGGTGGTTTTTCACCAGGGCCGTCCCTTCCCTACAGGCCGATCA